TTTTATTCCTATTCTTTTACAGTTGTAATCTTTTAAATGTCTCTTATCATAATTGTGGTTACGGTTTGAAGAAAAAGGAAATTCTAATAAAGTTTTTTCATGATTAAGAATCTCGGAGGAGAGTATATACTTTTACCAGATTGTTTGGCAAGATATTGCAATCAATTTAATTTAAAAAAAAAATTACATTGAACATGATAAATAACATAAGTTAGCGAATACATTTATAATATATTGGGATGCCAAAAAAGGAAAAACAAAAACAAATAAAAATGAAACCCGATAGTTCTAAAATACCATAATAAAGATTTTTCTTAAAATAAAACTAGGATTCATATAACTAGTAGAGGATACTAATGCGACTTTTATACTTTGATTTACTTAAAATCAAAGTATAACATAATGCTGTGATATTTTTTAAATTTTCACGAAAGTATATGTTTTGGTTCTAAACCATCCGAAGCAGTAGAGGGTCTATGGCAGTGGTTTCCAAGATAGTCGTTGTCATAGACCTTCTGCGTACACTGACCTTCTCTTCTACAATTTGACCAAAACATCTATGCAGGACATTTGGTCTCGATTATTTTCAGAACCAAGGCCAACCCTCTGCGCACACTGACATTCCCCTTTATGCTATGACCAAAATCTCTGAGCAAGGTTTTTGGCCTTGGTTGTTTTCAAAACCGAGGCCATAGACCCTTTCCCCAAAAAGTTGGTCACTTGAAAAGTAAAATTTTCATATCTGTGCAAGGCTTTTGGCCTCGGGTCCATGAGAACCGATGCCATAGACTTTGCTCTGACCCACTTTGAGTTGTAATCGAGGTAATTTAGATCTTATGCTTTGGTTTGGTGGGACCTGAGGCAAAAGAGTTGAACAAAATTTCAAAATTGTCATTTTAATTTTTTTTTGATTTTTTTTTGGACAACTTTAGGCCTTGTTTGAGTAGGAAACTGAGGTCGTATCCCTCATATTTCTCGGTTTTATGAAGAACCGAGGTAATAACTTTTTCTAGGTTAAACAAATAAAAGACAGAGGGTGAATGATTTCGTCTTCTTTGCGAAACTGTTCTTCTTCTACAAATAGAAATTGCTCCGCTGTGTCGATATAACTCATTTTCTTTGATTTTTCACTGTTTACAGCCGTTTTTTATCATCTTCGTGGCTGTCATGAACGTTTAGGAACCATAATCACCGATCAAAATTGTTCCAAACCTCTTCTTGGATTGGTTATTGCGATTCTCCACCTTAGAGGTAAATTTTTTATGCTTTTTTTTTTCTGCGTTTTGGTGTTTGTGTTTGTTTCTAAAACTAATATTTTGTTTGTATATTTGTCTAGGTTTGATTTTTGCATAGTTAAATTTCCTATCGTTTTAATCACGGTTTCTCCATTGTTATTGGCCTTTCACACTCTCAAGTTCTTATTTTAATATTTAAAGTTTACTTTTTAATAGAATCATATAATTTTGTAGTAGGTTCTAATTTTTTTATGTTAAATATGTGATTATTTCAATGCTTATTAATTGTATGATTGTATAATTGAATTGAATTAACCTTAATTTCGCGTTAAATGATTAATACAAGAATCCAATATTAAAGGCTAAATGAGAGCATAAATATGTACTCATCAGTCACCATGGTCGCCTAACGAATTGTTCATGAAGCCCAGCAAGAGGAAATATCCACAACTTCATTTCTTCAAGTTCCAAAACTAGCGCTCAACACATCACTTTGCACCCAGCGCTGATGACGATCTCCAGAATCTGCACCACATGTCTATTTTGATTTTCTTGCACGAGTCTTATGCATATAAAACGTGGCCTTTCAGGTCACAACATCCCTATGTATCATAGCTAATTATTAGCTGCTTAGTTGCACCGCAAGAGCTTTGAAGACTCTATAAATCCAAGCTTTTTTCATGTAAATAACTACTTTTGAGATTAATGAAAGAAATCTCTGTTGAAATCTCTGTTGAGGTCACTCCAGGATTATTTCCCCTTCAAAAGTAATTGTCACAGAGGGTTCAACATCCTATAACCACCTTTCCTGGTGGAAATCTTGCTAGGCTTCATTTGCATCATTCCACCTTCAATATATCACTTCACTGAGAGCATAGTTTGTTTCCATTAAACACCTTACCTTAATTTAACTTTTTCATTGCTTCATTCGTTCCTGACCTCTACTGAGTTGCTGAACTTGAAGAATTTGCTCAGTTCAGCCTTAGAGGGAGTTAATCAAAATTGCATCTCTATCGCAACGCAGATCAAATTTCCAAGATGCAAAACCACATGTAGCTGCAAATCGTGTCTCTCCATTGCAAATCTAAAATCACGAGCAACCATGAGCACTACTGTGTGCGTCTCCTGAAAAAGAAAAATCAGACTAGAAAAGTTTCTGATTCAAATAGTTATGATGACGACAAGAACGAACGATGGCCAGACGTGACAGATCTAGTTTTCAGTGTCTTAATTCATTTGCAGACCTAGGCTATTTTGGACTGTAAGTAGAAAATCACGGTAAGAAAAGAATAGGAAACCACTTTTTATACTAATTATAATTAAAACCAGCATAGAAAGTTTTCTTGTTTATTATAAACATGTCACAACGTCAACTTTCTATACCACTTATAATTAGAACTAGTACATAAAGTTTTCTTACTTATTATAAAAATGTCACTATATCCACTTTCTAAACAATTTATAACTATAACCAGTATAAAAGTTTTCTTCTTTATTAGAAAAATGTTATCTTATTCACTTTTTATTGTATTATAACTATAAAAGTGTTATTTTATTTATAGTTGTGCCACCACATTAATTTTTGTATATGGATAATAATTAATATAAGTAATGGATGTAAAAGTGTTTTTTAATTAGTAAATGTTTCATCAAATTGATTTTTACTTAGTTTAGGTAGGTATGATAACATCCTTCATTACTCTTTCACACCGAACAACCAACCTTATACCTTCAAGAATATAGTTAAGGATGTTAACATTTTCTGTGTTGGGAGGTATGATTTTTTCAAAAAATCGAAACCAACCAGAATGCACGTATTCGACATTTTGATTTATTTATATACTTATTTAGTAAAATATGACAATAATAATAATAATAATTGTATTTATTAGTAATACCAACACAATTGCATATATAGTAATTTTTCCCCCTAACTTGTGCACAAAACACCTTAAGGTCAATACTCCAAGAAGGTGACCAAAGGTATGATATAATAAAACAATAAAGTTCTTACCCTTAAACCGAGGAATGTTGCTTCTGCGGCTGTGAATAACACATGAATTCCAGGAGCTTGTGGTTGTGAATAACAAATAATGAATATGTAGAAAAGGATGTTTTCAGTGAAAGAGAGAAATAGTTAGCATGATTTCGAATATTGAATATTATTGTGAAAGGTGTCACTAACCGAACCGAACAAGTGAGCGTGGGATGAAGAGCCACTCGCATCCACTAAGATACGAGAACTTCAATACTCTAAGCACCACCAAGTTGGAATACCAACTTTTACATCCTTCAAAAAATTAATGTGATTCCATTCTTATAACTTATTTTAATTTTATTTTTAAATTTAAAATCAAATATTTATTTTCTATTTTTTATTTTTTTTTTGGATGTAATTTTAGAAATCATAATTGATTTTGGTAGTTATCCAATTGTACACTTATTATTTTTGTAAATTGCGGACATTATACCCAATTTTAACGATAACTCCTATTTTATATTTTTAAAAGGAAATATATTGTTATCCATATATTCTGTGTTTCAAGTTTCATCTTAGATTAACTTGAATTGATTGCCAAATAAATAAAATTTAACAAAGAATTGTTTCTACCTTGGATCAATCTCGATAATTACCTTACTAGACTAAAAATATCCGCTTATGAACAAAACAAATTTAATCAAGAAAATTTTTTGTATATTACCAAAATTAAATACAATTAAACATGTTAATAAAGTGTTTTTATTTTTTTTAGAACTCATGCGTGTATTTTGACATTTTAATTAGGATGACATTTTAAAATAAATATATATTTTTTGTCATCGCATAAAAATTTAATAAAAAAATAAAAAAAAGTAAATAAACATAAATAAGGAAGTAAACCAAACCCGTGTTAATAAACAAATTAAGAGTTTCAAAATACTATAATAATATGTATAGAGTGTTTTTAATTATATACGAAAAAATATATAAATTTAAAAGGAAAAATTTATTTGAATGATTTTCATGTTTTATATAAATTAATTCAAAGCATATATCAATGGAGAGGTATTTTGTATGTAAAAATTAAGAAAGTAATTGTTTGACGACCATAAAAGATCAACACTGAATTTAATTTATACTCAAGACCTAGAGTAAAATTATTATAGTTACATGAGACATATACCACTATAATAAGTTGTAATTTTTTTATATCATTGATAATTTTTAAAAATCATATTTTTGTAAACTAAATTTTGCATGTTAAACTAACGAATAAATTAACTTCTTATTTAAGTATTTTTAATTAAATTTGACCTTCTAAAAACAATACTTAAACTTAATTTTTCATTAACGTAGTTTTAAACGTGTTAATATATTTTGTTAATAACTAATAAAAAAGTGGAAATTGTTTTCTATTCCATGAAAATCTTTATCGGTAAGAGTAAAATGAAGATAAATCAAAATTCATTTTGTTTGTTCTATCATTAGTTAACAAATCACAATTCTAATAGCGATTTTTGGTGATAAGTTAAAAGCGTAAGTATATCACGTTATTGTTCTGTTAGCTTTTGAGTTATTTTAAAACAACTTCTTCATCAATTGAAAGTATAGAACTTTTATATATGCATAAATATTAAAATAATTATGCACATACATTTAGTTTAAATGAAGCTGTCTTTAACTTTTTTAAGTGGATGTAAATAATAATTATTTTCTTTTCAAATTTTAAGGTGCACTTAACCTATTACTTTCTTTGTAATCAATTTTTTGTTCGGTGTCAAGGACGTGACTTGCACGTCCTCTGCTGCCGCGTGAAAGCAAGGTGCCTCTTTGAAACTCACTTCTCTTCTTCTCACCTAATCATCTTTCCTTCTCTCTCTTTCCTACAGAAACCAGACCTTCCCAAAACAATTGGTTTAATTCTCAACAACAGACACCAGAAACAGAAACAGAGAACAGAAACAAAAAGAGAAGAGATTGGTGAGATGGAGAACGGCCTCTACGATGAGTTGTTGCAAGAAATTTTCCAGAAACTCCCTCCTTCTTCCTCGTCCTCCGTCGCCCTCGTCTGCAAGCGCTGGCTCCGTCTCTACCGATCCTCCACAACCTCCCTCTCCCTCCGCCTCATCCCTCACTCCTCTCTCACCGTCTCTTCTCTCTCCTCCTTCCTCTTCCACCACCCTTTCCTCTCCTCCCTCTCTCTCTCCCTCTCTCCACACTTCTCTCTGTCCCCACACATCCTCTCACTCATCTCCTCCTCCTGCTCCAACCTCCTCGCTCTTTCTCTCGACCCCACCCCTCTTTCTCTCTCCTCCCTCCTTTTTCTCTCCACCTCCTTTCCCCGTCTCACATCCCTCTGCATCACCCTCCCCAGGCCCCTATTTCTCAACTGGGTTCCCTCCTTCCCCTGTCTCAAACAATTGTCCATTTCCCTGTCCTCTGACCAAGAAAATCCAGGTGGGGTCAACAGCGACGAAGAAAGGGAAGACTTTGACGCGGAATTGGGGTTGGAGAGTCTCTGTGTGGTGGGGATTCGCACCGATGATTGGGGGCTGGGCTGGTTGTGGAGGAGATGCACCAAGCTTAAGAAACTGAAGCTTCGCAGTTGCCAGGGTATTGGAGGGCCTTACTCGTCTTTCGTCAGGTGCTTGCACGGAATTCATGAAATTGAGCTCAGAACTTGCAGGAGTGTGGTGTACGCGGTTCTTTTGGAGCTTGTGGAACATTGTCACTCCCTAGATTTTCTCTTGGTTCATGATGGTGGTAGCAGAGAAGGACTGATGCAATTTTTAACTCAGGGCCGCTCCAATGTTTGCAAATTCGACCTCCGTCTCCCTCTGGACCTCAACAACGACCATCTCTTAGCGATGGCCGCGAACTTCAATAAGCTCACAAGCCTCAGGCTTCAAAGCTGTTGCCTTGTTACCGGGCAGGGCCTAAAGGTTCTTGCCGGAGCTTGCGGCGGACTTGAGGAACTGGCCCTGGTGAACTGTGACGTGGTTGAGAGGGAGCCTGGGCTGCTTGCGACTCTGGGCCAGCATTTGAGGCAGTTAAGGAAGCTGGACTTGTCTCATAACGAAATGTTGGTCGACAAGGAGTTTGTTTCGATGCTGGTTTCGTGCATTCGTTTGATTGATTTGAGAGTGAGAGGGTGTAAAGCACTTACTAGTGTTGCTGTGGTTTCTATGCTTAGGAGCTGCAAGCACCTTCAAAATGTGGATATTATGCACTGTTTCGGTATAGACTCTGAGGCGATTGAGCTGTTTGTTAAAAATTCTTCTCGGTTGAGGAAAATGGAAGTTGAGAGCAGCAAGCTCTCTGATGCTGCGAAAACGTGGACATCGAGTAAGTTTATTGAAGTTGAGTGATTGGAAATTGAAGGTGAAAGAAGGAAGTGTATATTTATGAAGTTTTAAATAAACAGGTATACTTCACACCCCTGATCAATGTATTTATGCATTCATGTTTCTGTAATAAAATAAACTATTGCTTATATTATCTACGAACTTGGTGGAGGTTGAAAGAAGCAAAGCAAGTGTCAAAGTGTATATCTGTTTGAAATTTGAATTCTTATATGTACTTTTAATTTTCATCCCATTTTGTGGGATTTGCACAATTTGTTAATTTTGACTTCACTGGAAAGGATTTGTGTAGCCCACTTGTCTAAAAAGCAGGACCCAGTTATATTGGTGATGCGTCATAAAATGGAAGTAAATGAGTAGCTTTAATCAAAGGGGATGGTAAACTGCAACTGTAATTTAATTAGGAGTTGAAATCCAGCAATTTTAAGTGGGACATCAAGCTTGGCAGCTTGATTGGGTAGGAATTGACATGATACTGTGACATAATTGATAACTTCACGAAATTTTATCGGGCAACTGTTCATTTTATGCGGTGGAAATCAATGTTTCACAGCTGTGTTTTGGATTTCTCGTGCGATCAGAGCCTAGTTGTGCCCGCTTTCGTGTTCATTTTTATCCAATTGGAAAATAACTTTATTTAATTCGTTAATCATTCATTTATATTATTATGGTAATATATTTATGGTATTGTAATCTGACCGAATTTTCAGAAAAATTCAAATATATTTTCAAAATAATTAATTTGAAAATATTCATATAAGTTATCAAATTAAATTAGATTAAATTATTTAAATAAAATTCTTTTTGAGAAAAGAATTAAAATAGTTTGACAAGTTTTGATTTGAATAATATAAATTAATAAGGGTTAAATATGTTTTTAGTCCCTAAACTATTGGTCGTTTTTGGTTTTCGTCCCTCTTTCAAAGTAAGGTACAATTTGGTCCTCATTCTTTAGAAAAACGTTCGTTTTAGTCCTCAAAATTTTGTTTTTAGTCCTCGTTTTAGTCCTCAAAACGTTTGTTTTTTCGACTAAAACGAACGTTTTTTAAAGATTGAGGACTGGAAGAGGGACGAAAACCAGAAACAGTCAATAGTTTAGGGACTAAAAACATATTTAACCCAATTAATAATAAGTAATTTAGTATCATATTAAAATTACTAATTTTGTTATTGATATTAAAATATTTGAAGTTTGTTAGAGAAAATATTAAAAATTCTATGATTATAATTAAGTATTAAAAATAGGCAAATCTAAAACATGATCATACTTCACACTACAAAAATCATGTAATAAACAAATAATATATAATGTAATATTTAAGTATTTTGTTTAATAAACTATATAACATTGTGTACTTTTAAATTATATTTAATAAAGGATGAAATCACTTTATCGATAGAAACACATAATTGTGTTTAATAAAACATGAAAACAAGAGTGTACTATAATAGCANATAAGGGTTAAATATGTTTTTAGTCCCTAAACTATTGGTCGTTTTTGGTTTTCGTCCCTCTTTCAAAGTAAGGTACAATTTGGTCCTCATTCTTTAGAAAAACGTTCGTTTTAGTCCTCAAAATTTTGTTTTTAGTCCTCGTTTTAGTCCTCAAAACGTTTGTTTTTTCGACTAAAACGAACGTTTTTTAAAGATTGAGGACTGGAAGAGGGACGAAAACCAGAAACAGTCAATAGTTTAGGGACTAAAAACATATTTAACCCAATTAATAATAAGTAATTTAGTATCATATTAAAATTACTAATTTTGTTATTGATATTAAAATATTTGAAGTTTGTTAGAGAAAATATTAAAAATTCTATGATTATAATTAAGTATTAAAAATAGGCAAATCTAAAACATGATCATACTTCACACTACAAAAATCATGTAATAAACAAATAATATATAATGTAATATTTAAGTATTTTGTTTAATAAACTATATAACATTGTGTACTTTTAAATTATATTTAATAAAGGATGAAATCACTTTATCGATAGAAACACATAATTGTGTTTAATAAAACATGAAAACAAGAGTGTACTATAATAGCACATAGAAGTGAGTTAATCTAGCATTACATGAAAAAAAAAAATATATATATATATATATATATATATATATATATATATATATATATTATGATTGTACGGAATGTTTATTATTTTTTATTATTAAAGAGGTTCATTTGTAAAACAAAAAGACACTTCATAAGATTACTCGAATTCAGAGTTAAAAGTTATTTTTCTTCGTCAAATCTTTGAATAAAACATTATCAACTTCGATAGAGAAATCATAGGAAAACATTTAGATTCTAGGAAATAGAAAAACACTCAAGCTAGAATAACCAGATGGATGACTAGGCGATGTATTGTCTAAAGACATTTGAGACAAAATTGAGCTAAATATTCAATGCTTAAATACCTGAATTAGGTATTTGGCTTCTCTCGAAAATAGAAAGGGGTCGAGACATTGTCTTTCACTAAAACAATTAAAAGACATAATTGTTAAAAGATATAAGAAAGCTTGAGCAAGCTAAACGCTATCTGTCTACAAAGAGACAAAAGCAAAAGAAGTGTTTACTTGAATCAAGATGATATCATGAGCGAAACAGACACGTCATCTTGAGATGAAGTATCTCTACCATTTCAAAGTAAAAGAACTTAATTGTAAAATCCTACCTAACAGTAGGAAATCAAAAAGTGTGTTGTTTCATTAAATGACATTAAATGTCCAATGTTCAAAAACAACAAAAGTGATAAGAAAAGTCATATTTGTTGCATGTACAATTTACTCTAATTTTGCAGATAAGTTATTTTACACGCATCCACAATGCTACATATCAAATATCAAATGTGGACGTTAAAGACAAAAAAGATAATCATGGTATGTTCCTCATGAAGCAAAGTCTAAAAATATCGTACAACATACTTCAAGCAAAACACTGAAAAAGCATGTTTGCTTTAACAAAGTTGACTTACACAACGACTAATATGAAAAGAAGAAAAAGAAAACACAAGCATCAAGACTACGATCTACAAACGCAGTCTAATGGACAAATATTCGTAAAGCCTATAAATAAAAGACCTCTCAAGAAGAAAATCTAGAGGGTAGAATAGAGGATAACCAAAGTGTGTAAAGCTTTGTAAGTCATTTGGCGTGATGAGACTGTTTTTATTTACATGGATGGAACAATCACATTTGGAGGAAATCAACAAGGTAGAATGATAGGCATTGGAAAGATAGATATAAATTCCCTTCTATTGATAATGTTTTATTAGTAGATAGTCTGAAACATAATCTGTTGAGCATAAGTCAATTATGTGATAGTGGATACAATGTTATCTTTGATAAAGGCCAATGCAAAGTCCTAAACAACCAAGGTCTACTAGTATTTACTACAAATAAACAAGGCAACTTGCACAAGATAGATCTAGATGAGTTACATGCTCCAAGCGTCTCATGCTTAGTGTCTATAAAAGATAATGCAATTTCATGGAATAGTAAAAGTGGACATGCTAGTATGAGATTAATCTCAAAACTACAATGTAATGAGCTTGTGATAGGATTACCTAAAGTACCACTCAACGATACCATCTATATATATAGATGAAAGCTTGAAGAGAAGACAAGAAAGATAATATAATGAACTCGTGAACGCTCAAACAAGTTTATTGTGATCATACATCGACTGAAGCTAAATTTCTGAAAGAGAAAAACCTTTACAAATGTCATATTTATTTGTATTGTTTCCATCCTCTCTTTGAGAGTTATTAATTTGAGTTAAATAGTCTAGAAATAGTCTAGAAATGTTTTCTAGGGTTGAGCCTAAAAGTGGTTAGAATAGTTTTAAACCAGGAGTTGTTAAACTCGGACTAGTCGTGTTGACTATGTGAATCAAGAATGGTGAGAATATTCATTGTAAACCAAGAGAGGTAACACTCTTGTTATCTTGTTAAAGTTAGTGGAACCCCTTAAAAGTTCTTATGGGGAAACTAGACATAGTTGAGGTTTAGTGAACCAGTATAAAAAATCTATGCTTTATTGCTTTGCTCTTTAAAACATTTTCCATTTACGCATCTCATAAAAACCCACATTTAAACACCTTACAAATTATATATCTTTTACAAACCATTAGACATACTTTGCAAAAAAATTTAAAAACATTACTCAACTAACCCCTCCCCTTCTAGTGTTTTCCTGTGATTTCACCAATGTGTATCTAGATTGGGAAGCAAAACTAGGCCAATTATTCAATGTAAACCCAATAGGAGATCAAGAGCAACTAGACTTAGTGGTAAAGGAATATGTCATGACTTAGCAGCATCAAGTTTGTATAAATAATTACTAGGGGCCACTTTTAGCTTCTTGGATGCAAGAGTCGTTCCTTCCTATTATAACATGAAGCTCCTTTTGATGTTCCTAATGCTTCAACATGGACAAATGTGCGTGGATGATTATTTTAAAGAGCTAGAGCCTTCAATGCTTACAGTTGGATTAGATGAATCTAATGTAGAAAAAGTGTTTACGTTTGTTAGTGGTCTAAGGAGAGACATATAATACCAAGTAGAGTTGTATGAGTGCACCACTCTTGAATATGTTTTACACCTTGTTCTAAAAATTGAACCTCAATTAAAAGGAAATGATGGGGCCAAGGAGGAGTCACTTACACAATGACTACTATAGTTGTAACACCTCTTTCAGGATATCACTAGTAATTTATAAAAACGACTATTTTCTGAAACCGTTGTTAAAAGTGAACTTAAAATAACATTAAACCAATTGGAAAAAAAACTTTATTCCAATTCAACTCAAAACACTGTTTGAAAATATTACAATTTAAAACTAAGGTTTAATAGCTTATTTTGTCCCAAGTTTTGACGAATTTTGTCCATTAGGTCCCTCCTTTTAAAAGTACATCAAATTGGTTCTTACTAAGTAAATTTTGCGTCAACGCCGTCCCTTTCATTAAATATGCATAAACAACGTTAACTCTTTTTTTTCTCTGTCCTCTGCTCTTCTCTAACACAACATACTTTTCTCTTTCTTTTATCACTGCTGTCTTTTAATTATTTCAAAGAAAATTACATAAGCAATTTGAACAGGCAATTTTTATTGCGACATCACGATGTACCCCAACTCA